TGACATTCCCACAAAAAACCCTTTACTTAATTTTTTCAATATCTGTGTATATACCTCAATACCCCAGCACCAGAAGACTTTTCTATTTTTTATTATATTTAATTTTTTTTCTTTTTATCTGAGTACAGTTTCCCCTTCCTCTGCTCCTCCCAGTTGATCCTCATCTCCTTTCCCATCTGGATCTACTCCCTTTCTGTCTTTCATTAGAAAGGAACAGGTTCCTAGGAGATAGCAACAAAATATGACAAATTAAAAGATAAGATAAAATGAAAACCATCACATCGAAGTTGGACAAGCCAAGTCAACAGAAGAATGAAAGAGCTCCAAGGGAAGGCACAAGAATCAGAGTCCCACTCGTGTACACACTCAGGACAGAAAGGTACTGCACTGAAAGCTACAGGATACTGCAGAGGACCCTAGTGCAGACTGGTGTAGACCCTGTGATTGCCGCTGTGGTCTCTGTGTGCTCATGCAAGCGTTGCCTGGTTGCTTTAGAAGGTCTTGTTTTAGAAGCAGGCTTTTCTGTGGCAGTTCTTTATCATTTACTGCTGCTAACATGTTTTAGCACCTGTTGGGTACCAGGCACTTGTGCTAAGTTCTCAATACACATTATCACATTTTAGCTTCATAATGACCCTGTGCTGTATGCACGCCATCATTATCTCTGTTTTACAATACAGAAACTGAGGATGACAGATGTTCAGCGACTTGCCTAAGACTTCACAGCTAACAAACAGTAAATCCCAGCAGGAAGGCAGCTGCACGTGAACAGAAATCCTTGAACACAGCAACGAAAGGGAGAATAGATTATAAGTAGGAACCGGTGCATCGAGGGCACATGACAGCAGTGACATTCCAGACCCTATGTTATTCCAAAGTTGTTTGCAAATGAATATGAGTGAAGCCGGAGACTCACCCGTGTCTACCTACTTGAATCTTTCCACCTGCGACATATGGTTGTCCCAGGTGTCACCTGTCTGCTGTTTTTAGGGACTGGAATGATTTCATCTCTTTGCACGTTTAGCAAAACCCACCATCTGTATTACCACTTAGAACACATCTGAGACCCAAGAAAGGGCCTCGGCTGCCTTGTGGTTTCTGCCCAACCTCAGCTCCCTCGGGTGCTTTCTGACCTCTTTTCCTGCTCCTCAGCTGCTTGCAACAGCAGCTGCATAAGTTTCTATGACAAAATCACCTGGTCTCTGTGTGGTGACAGCAGGTGTGTTCTCGCTGATACAGGGTGTGATTGCCACAATGCTTAACAATGTAGGGAGAAAGTCACCCTGAGAGACCCAGGGTGGTGACAGTTGTGGTGGGGGAAGAGAGAGTTGAAGAGAAAAGAAAAAAAATGCCAAGTTAATGAAGGTGAAACAGATATTTGCTTTCTATGTATGGTTTTCATTAGTTTTTTAAAACTATTCAGAGAAGTGAAGTCTGTAAGCTTTCTCCCTCCTACCAGTCCCCGGCCCCTTAAGTGCTCTGGAGTGGACCTTCAAGGCCAACAGAGCTGGGAAGTCACATGCCTGAATTATGGGCCAATAGATCATTTGGAAGACAACTGCACAAGCCACATAATCAGGGCACCAAGAACCATTTCTAGGTGGCACCTAACTCACAAAAGGGTAAGAGAGGGTGTGCGATTTTGAGTAGAAAGTGTTGAGTCACTTCAACAACAATCACAGCTAATATTTATTGAGCATTCAATGTGAGCCAGTCAATGCACTAAGAGTTAATGGCTGTGAATCATCTCATTTGTATCTCACAACAGCTCTCTGAGGCAGGCACGACTATTATCTTCAATTTGCTGATGGAGAACTGAAGGCCCTGAGGTTTAAGTGACTCAGTCAAAGTACACAACCATTGAAGGAACAGACTTGGGGTTTGGGCTTTTAATTTCTCAAAACCTCTATTACCTGTCTTAATTCAAAAATATTATTAAGCAGAATGAGGAACAAAATAGATAAACTCTTTGGCAATTCATAATCCTTTTGAAGGCTTGTCTAATGCCTTCGGCTTGGTTGCACTGAACTAAGAGCCAGAGGGATTTTTACCATAAGGAGCCCACCAGAGCTGGGTGGAAATATTGCATGCTGTGAAAGCCTGCAGCCACTTCTCAAGTTTTTTCTTTGCACAATCAGCTTGGGAGGGATGTAGAGGTGTAGGCACAATGGGCTAATTTTTCTCTCTCTTGGGTTGGCAGCATGAGGTGTGACTATTGGTTCCACCCTAGCATACTTGCTGGCACAACAGGCATCAGGCCTCTTGGAGCCAACAAGGAGATCTTGATGAGCTTGTTTGGTGGATGAGCCTGGGCGAGCAGAGCAGACTTTGGGCTTAGAAAACTCGTGAGTAGGAAGTTAAATGAACTCCGTCAGCGTGCCAGGCACTGAAGGAGGCCTATGAAAGAGGTGTTTTACAAAATGGTACCCTGTGACAACAGATTATTTTCCCTGCTCAGGGGAGTACTTAGACTTGGTATTACTCCAGTCTGGGTTCACCATAGACTCATGTTTAATAACAATGCCTGTTCCGATTTCCTGCAAGGGCTATAACTCCTGTGTTTTGCAGAATGCCTCACACACGGCAGGGCACACTAAACAGCCAATAGTGATGTTTACTGTGATAACGATCTTCCGATGCCTTTCATCCAAGGCTCCTAGAGTGCTATGCAAACACTAATTAGTTAGGTGTCAAGGTGGCTCTAGGTTTTTATAATACATTTTCCCATTTTACAGAATTTTAAATTGAGACCCAGGCAACTTAAGTGGCTTGTCCAAAGTCATACTGCACGTTTAAATTGATGATAATGAGGTGCTTCCCATTTCCCTGGCAGATGTTTTCCATGGTGACACAGCAGGTTGCAAAGATAACTTCAGTGTCTTAGAGAAGGGATGAGGGTAGGAAATATTACAAGCTGTTGGCTCAGTTGGATAAACTGAGGCAGAGAAGGTAAATAACTCCAGGGGATTTGAGTGGTGTTCCAAGTCCACTCTCAGAGTGCAGCATCCATCCATGCCTTAACTGGAAGGCATGATTCTTTCATACTTGCAGGAGAGACAGTTATATTTTTACAAACAGAAACAAGTTGTAGAGTGTCAGTATAGTAACATCCAGGAATGGGTTTGTTCTTAGCACCTTCAAGAGACAGGAGGCATGAGATGAACATTTCAAAGGAAGAAACGAATGAATGGGGTGATAGTGGTGGTGTACCAGCTCCTCTCTGAAAAACCCATTTAGAAACTCTCTGGAAGCATGAGCCCTCAAGGACTTGAGTCTGTGCGTCAGCCAGATGACAGGCCTAGGTCCAGGGTAGCTTGGTGAATAGGCATAGGTGTCTGTCTCTTGTCCCAGGTTCCAAGTCCCCATGAAGAGGTCCAAGGACACCCACCATTTTAACATCTTACTATTTTCTGCTCTCAATCCCCGTGGTGGAGGAGGACTCTGAATCTTGGATGGTGCAACCCCCTGGCAACTGTGTATGCACATGGGGAAAGATGAAAACCTGAACAGAAGTTTGCAAAACTTATAGGGGCCCTGTCTTCTTCCATGAAACATTTCCTTAGTGAATGATGACCCTCTTCTGAAAGGCAAGTCAGTCTTTTATAGAGAAGGGGAAAGAAGACTGAGTGTTAGGAATTCAAGGGTGACTTGCCAACCCAGAGACAGATGTCTTTTCTCTTAACAAGGCAGGTTTGAATGGTTTGTTCTCCACCCTACTCTACCCTTGCAGGCCTGTGGATTCTGAATGATTGAGCAGCCTTACAGAGGAGTGAGTGCCCATCCCTTTTCTGGAATGCGTTCACCTATGGAAGCACAACAGCAATAAAAAAATCTTCAGTGAAGAAACCACGCCAACTTCCCGCTCTCATTTTTGAATATTTACACACAGCCCTACCACATGGGTGGCTTAAAGGTGCAGTGAACTCCAAGAGACTTAACTCTCAGAAGAAAACTTTAGTGAACATCTGTGAGTGCACACTGCAGACCTCTTCCGGGTGAGGAGGGGGCCCAGTGCCAAATGCTCCCGCCCACCACCACTCTTCAGAGCGGTCTTGGGACCCTGTTGCCAGCATTAAAGCATGCTTCAGATGGGACGTCAAGTAATGCATCTTTGATTGCTTAAGTAGGCCAACAATCTAAGCCATAGCTTTGTATCCATTTCGGTCCACGGAGTCCAGGGATGACATTGCAAATAATACCCTGGACTCACAGGACTGCATCCTCCTCCTGAGACAAGCTCCTGCACAGCCGCCCAGATAAGTCCTCTGGGTGTGCTATCAGGGGTAGACAGAGGAACATGGGAGGCTTTTACTCAGTAATCTGTATGGTTTGACTGGGTCTGTACTGTAGCCCTCACCCAGCATGCATTTTGTGTGTTCTCTTCCCTCTGTAGACACTCATTGCTCTGTTCCTATATCATCTATCCTATTACATATTCCAGCCTTTGCCACCAGTCAGTCCATTCATATAGACACTTCCCTCCCGTGTGATTCCGGGTGTCAAGTATCTGGATAGCTTCAAACAGATTAGGAGTGATCCTCAATACGACACTTTATCACAAGGGATGGGAAGACAGATTTAGATAGAACTCAAGCAACACCGGATACATGGAAACTTCTCCGAAGTCTCAAAAGCAACCTGCAGTTGAATTTGTTTTCTATATTCCTCACTTGCAGGGTGCTTTCCATACACTGGTCTGGCGCCTTAGCAGCAGAACTAAAGGATTTTCTGTAAGTACTTTCCTCATTCAACAACCTCAGGACAGGAACCAAAGAGACTAGCAAGCATTACAAATTCTGAGGCGAATTGTCAGGTGGAATAGATAGTCTCAGTGTTCCCGTTGTGTCTCAGTAAAGTGATCACAGCTGACCCAACTGGAGAATCATCTCCAGCACTCTGGTGAAGTCTGTCTATATGAAGGAACCCTGTTCCCTAGCTCTCGGCATACACACGACCAACCTCCAAATGCACATGATAGGAGCAAACAAGTTTTCTCTTACCCCATCCATGTGGATCCTGACACTGGGCGCCAGCCGGAAAGGGCTGGCTTGTAGACTCCCGGGGCTGGTCTTGCTTTTCCTGCTGTCCTGCAAGGTCAGTATTCGAGGCCTGCGAAAGGAGCCCCGTTTCCAGGAGTTCTGCCCAGAGCGCACACCATCCAGCAGACGCACCAGCAACAGGTTGGCTGGCAGAGCCTCGATGCTGCAGAACACCAGGGTCCTGCATTCCGGGCACCGCAGCTCCTTGTGGGCCTTGAAAATCCTCTGTAGACATGGTTTGCAGAAGGTGTGCTGGCAGGGGAGTACTTTGGCTGTGACATCGAGCTTTTCAAAGCACACAGGGCACTCCAAGAGATCAAGTAACGTCAAATCATCCATTTTATTTTAAAACTCCAGTCCCGACCTGGAGAAGCAGGGTTCACATTGTAGTGGCAGCCGAGCTGAGGGGGCAGAGCCAGCCTTTCGGGAGCATCAGAATTCCCTGCCTGTTTGAAGGAAGGAGGAAAAAAAATGTAACTGCCCTGAGAGGTGTGTCCCACCTACATGGAGGCAGTGTCTTGAGAGGCAGCTGCAAGCACTTTGTTCCGGGAGCTTCAAGTGACTCACTCTGATTCAGTCTTGCAGGTTAGAAGACTTGTGCCTGCTGCCAGGATCCGAGGGAGCACGGCACAGTGACTGAGCGCTCATCGCCTCTGAGCAGAGGGCCCCAGCAAGGAGAGAAAAAGGGCACGCTCCGGCAGGGAGCTGTTTCTCTCCCGGGAGGACTGGAGGATTGCTTTCTCCTGCCTGGCTCACAGTCTTAACTCAGACTAAGGCCCTGACAACAATGTCTGTGAGGCTATGCACCTACCTTCCCTTCCTCCCCCCCCAGATCAACTTGTCTTCTACTTGTAGCAGACGAGCTTAGGGAAGTGTTTAACGACTCCTGCGCAGGTGTAGACTTCTTTCCCTTCAGTAGATCTCCCTCCACTATTTTATTCTAGCAAATATACAAGAAAAATTCCTACTCCCCGATAGTTTTCCCTTAACTCTGTCCCATCCCTTCTATGCCTTCCTCTGCCCCGGATTAATGTAGCGCCAGGGAAATTCTTCCTCCTACCAAGGTGAGGTCCTGTGGCCTGTTTAGTTGCTTTGACAATTGCGCTGGCTGGCTTTCAGCTGCCGCAGAAAGGAATTCAGGCTTGAGATCACAGCTTCCAGAAACACAGAGGAAGCAGCATGACCGGGCAGGGATGGGTGTGTGTGTGTGTGTGTGTGTGTGTGTGTGTGTGTGTGTGTGTGTGTGTGTGTGTGGTCTGAAAACAATCTTGGTTTTAGAAACAGTTTCATTTCGTATGTCTGAGAACTAAGTTTCCGGTTTTGAGAAGTCTCCTGGGTACAAGTCAGCCACACCCAGGCTCCGGTGACCGTGGGCACCGCGGGTGGGCTTGGCAGGCTAGTCGGTGGCCCCCAGCAGCTAGCGTAGCAGATGTGAGGTGTCCTGAACAGAGATGTCACCTTGGGGCAGCAGGGCGGGGCGGTGGGGGGGTCTGTTCTGCAAAATTGTCAGCACGATGGAGGGGTGTGTGGGACTACTAACCTTGCTCCTGTATAGTTGTGATCTGTTCGCCCCTTTCTGGGCTCATCTGGGACTGCTCCTTTTAACTGACTAGCTGCCTTTCCTTCCCAGGGCTGGGCAGCTGAGCTGTCAAGTTTTGAAAACTTCCACCAAGTCCTTCCAGTTTCAAGGGATCACCTTACCCAACCCTGTTAACACTGTCACTGCCAGCAGCTGCCTGCCAGCCCACACACTGCCGCTGGCCCATGCTTGATGTCACAGCACCTAGGACAGAGCAGTGAACAGTTTGTGGGTCCACGTTCCCCATTTTCTTCCGCATTCAAGAAACTTAAGTTGCTTGGTTACAAACATGCCAAGTGCTGAGAAGGTCAAACATATTAATGATAGCTGTAGCTCAAAGATAAGGCAGCCTCTTATAAAATACTGGTCTTAAAAGTGATAATCACTCCTTGAATGCTGAGAGAGGCTTCAGCAATCTTTGGCTCAGTTTCTTCCAATTAAAAAAAAAGTGTGGTGTGTGTGTACATATTTTGAAAATCAGACCACAGGAAGACCTTTTAAAAAGACAATAGTAATGATCCCAGATCTTCCCTGTCTGTTACTTCTTGTAGTCCTCCCACACCCCTTAAATGATGCTAAGGTTCCATTTTTGATTTATCAGTAATGTGTTCTTGTGACGTTACAGAGCAGTCCAGTTGAGCAAGTAGGTGATGACACTACACAACGGCAGGTGGCCCCCACTGTGTGTCAGCAACTATTCTAGCCCGTTGCCTGCATTGGCCTATTTAACCCTTGTACCAACTTGAGAACACTACAGTTTACCTTAACCAGCCAGGTGAGGGTGCGGAGATGGACAGGAATGCTGGTCATCCGACCAGTGCCATCCGAGGGAAGGCACGTGGTCTGTGCTCTTAACCACTGCACCATGGAGTGAGCAGGCTTTAAGAGAAGAGAGGGTTTGAGGACACCCAACCTCATCAGGGATGGAGAAGATGGCAAGAAGTCAGGAGATAATGACTCAGATTGACCAATCAGCATGCCTTGCCCATGAGGCAGCTGTGTCCAGAGAGATCAAGAGATTCTCTCAAGTTGGAAACTGGATCGTCTTCCTTTCCTCCTCCTCCCTTCTCTCCTCCTCCTCTTCTTCCCTTTTCTTCTCCTCCTTTTCTCTTTCTTCTTCCTTTTCTCTATCTCCTTCTTCCTCTCCTCCTCCTCCTCCTCCTCCTCCTCCACCTCCTCCCGCTGGTATCTTCTGACTGGGTGTGAGCCACACCTGTAATCCTGTAATCCCAGTACTGGGAAAGCTCAGGCAGGAGAATCATGATTTTTGAGGCCATCCTGGCCTATATTGTGAGAATCTGTACCCCATCCCTAAATACAAATCACTTTCCCTTTGGTTTTTCTTTCTTTTTTGTTCCCTATCCTGTCTCTGTCTATTGACTTTTCTTATGTTTAAGCATAGGGATAACAATTCTTTGGGGGCAGGGTAGCAAGGACTTTACCATTGATCCAAATGCCCTGCCTGATGGTAATTCTTTATCACAGAAAATCACTTAGACATGGCTGCTTGGGAAATCAAGAAGACTTTAGTCATTTGTCTTTCTTGTGATCTTCCATGTCAGTTAAAAAAATCAAACATGCATGAAACTCAGAATGAAGGAGATGTCTGGAAGGAGCAAGTGTAGTCTTCTCTTCTGGTCTCAGGCCTTAATTCGCACACACATGTCTACTTCAGAGAACTCCTTTCAAATCCTCACCTTGAGCTTCGCCAGTGTTCTGTCCCATTTCACTTTGCCATGTCTGCCCACGAGGGCAGCTTGAAGCTCTCTCTGCTGATTCTTCGCACTCATTTCCTCTCAGGAGAGCTCAGCTCCTCTGTGAACTGCCCTGTAGTCCCCTTGCCTTCTAGAGAGTGGACTCCAACACTAGCTCTTCTGTAGCAGGGTTTTGCAGTGCCCTCTCCTTCCCTCTTTGATTCCTAAAGACATTCTGTCTCCCTGACATACCCTCATCTTCACCTACATGCACAAATACGCTTGCACAAGAAGTACATATGTAAACATGGAATATCTAAAACAATAATAGAAATGCTACAGATAATTTGACATATGACAGATACCAGTGAGTAAACTTAAGTAAACTTGAAGCAAATTGTCTCATTGGATCTTTCAGCCACTCCAGATGGGAGGTGTTGTAACTTTCCCAGAGCTATAAAACTTATGACTTTACACCTGAATTTTCGTGTTACAAAGTCCTGTACATGAGTCTATTCATGTACCCTTAGTATGTAAGTCCACACTCTTTTACATACAAAGTCCACAATGTATCCATCAGCAGATTTTAGAAGCAACCCAAGAAAATAAGAATAAAGGAAACTAGGGTGCATTGGCTCTCACCGTCTTCAGTGTACCCCATTTCCCAGCCCCTCCCTGTTTCTGCACAGTCAGGGGTCTCAAAATTCTTTAGAGTCACCCATCCCTGAGCCAATTCAACCAAGTCCACTCGGTCCTAAGAAGGCAGGGCAGACCTGTGAGTTACGATTTCCTAGTGCATTTGGCAGTTGATAATTCAAAACCACAGAGAAAGGATGGTAGGTTTTTAGGCACTGGAGCAGGACAGAGAAGGTTTCCACTGACAGGGAGTGGGGGTGGGGCGGGGTGGAGAGGCTCTCAAGTCACACCTGTAGGTGGTCTCTAACACCACCCACAGAGACAGTAGTCTCAGCAGTCTCAAGAAGATCTTTCTTTGAAGTGTTGGAAGATGGGGATGGATTTGAGTGGGGGATTTTATGCTGGCTTTCCCAAGCACTCCTTGGCATCAAATCAGACAAATAGCTAGCTCCTAAAAAACAAACAAAAGGTGAACTCTGCATCCTTTGCAGACTCCAGGCCCCCTGCCCCACACTCACTCCATCAACACTCCTTACAAGGTGATGCCAGTCTGTACTCTTGTTTAATATCTGTACAGTACAGATTTTATGCTGCTTGTATTTACATGTCAGTTCATGATAAAACTAGGCAAATCTGATCGTTGGGTTCCCCTATCCTTCCTACTGGCCTTAGGCTGAAATCCAAGTCTTTCTTCTGGCCCATAAGACGGTGTATGATCTGGCTTATCTGCCTGAGCTTGTGGGAACATATTCCCTCTGTGTTCCAGAGGTACTGCCCTTCCCCCTTAGCCCTCCTCCCTCCCTCCCTCCCTCCCTCCCTCCCTCCCTCCCTCCCTCCCTCCCTCCCTCCCTCCCTCCCTCTGTCCCTTCCTCTTTGCCTGTTTCACATTCTCTGTGACTTTGAGCTTTAACTAAATGCTCCCTTCTTCTGGAAAATGATCTTGATTTCTGTGAGTGTCCAGTGTGTCCTCCTAGTCTTCTCTTTCATTAATGCTTCATATCACAACTCAGTACTTTGTGGTTCATTAATGTCTAATGCTCCCAAACAAAGCAGAAGGGACGGAAGCACTTACTTGTCCAAGTATGAGGGAGGCCAGCATGTGGTTGATGCTCAATAAATGGGTAAGAATGAGCATATGGCTGGAAGAATGAAGGCATGAGCGAATGAATGAATGAATGAAATCTATGTCCTATGCTTGTAATCCCAGCACTTGAGGGGCTGAAGCAGCTGATTGTGAGTTCAAGGCCAACTTGAAACAATGTATCAAAAAATCACATTTAGGTCACTGTGTATCAAATCTCTATTGTATCATACACATCTTTGGAGTCAAGCTGAATATCTGAGCTCCACCTTTTACTTGAATAAGAATTTTCACCAGATTCAGGTAGGTGCCATTTAGTGTCTTGACTCAAGATCTTGCCATATACTTCTTGCCTCCAAACCCAGATGTGCTCTGATGGTACATATGGGTCACTATGACCACACTCATGGAGTCCTGATGCA